GAAGTCTGCCTATGTCCAGTTCATCTTGACTGGGCAGTTTGCTTTGTAATTACATACACAAGTAAAACCATGTTTCTTATTTCTATTTTAAATTGCTACAAATATAGTTACGAGTTTATAATTTTCATATTTTTAAAATTAATATGTTATTCAAATGATCTAGTCATAGTTGAAAGTTTATTTGGAAAAATAAATTGGAAATGTGACTGTCTACAAATAACTCTGGAGCATGATTGGGTTTTTTTTCCAGTAAATTCCCTTAAAAGTCATGAACCTATTTTGGTAGGAAGTAAGAGAACTTAGTTGCCTTGGTTTTTGAATGATTCTGTGCTTTTTCCAGAGTTGTACTAGCTATTTGTTTGAGATAACAGCAAATACAGAATTTTGATGACCAGTAATGATTGAAGTAGTTTAAACACTTCCAGCAAGTAAAAAGCAGACAATTATCACAATAGCAAAAGCTTTACTTTTTGGCAACAGTGTCCTGCAATGATTTCCTAAAGTAGATGTCCTCTTTCAGGACAGTGGCTTTATTAAAAGCAGATTTGAGTGCTTGCTAGAGTTACAATTGCATCCAACAATAGTTGATTGCTCAGATGATTTCACACTTCAGGCAGCATTTCAGTGGTAAGCCTGTCCTGTGAGCCCATCCCTGTTTGTGATTAAACTAAAGATCCTTGAAAACAGCAAGGTTTAACATACTGAACATTTTGTCTTCTTTTGGAAAACATAACATGCTCTTCCTTCTCTTGCTTTGTATTTCATTTCTCCTTTCTAACTTGCTGAGGATTAGTTTCCCTAGTTCCTTCTGTATACATATACCTTACCAACGATACTGTAAATCTCCTTTTTTCCACTTATTTGCATAGAGTCCTGTAAAATATGTGGATATAAAGTGGATGTAAGTTAGCCACTTGCTGGCTTTCTGCCTGGAAGCAGTCTGAGATTCAGGCTGATGAGAAAACAGTCCAATCTTTTGTTACTGAATGTATGGGATCCATGAGGGATTCAGTTTAATTCTTCTGGTTTTATTTAAAATTTTTTTTAAGAAATTGCCTTTAATTGCTGTCCTCTCATACACTTCCAGAGGAATAGTCAGCTGTTCATAGGAGTAGTTTTTAGTGATAGAAATGTGATGGAGAAGAACTGTAGTAAAGAAAGATGTGAGAAGATGCAAATGAGCAGCGCATTGCAGGCACTTTTTCAAAGCCGCACAGGAAGATTCGCTCTCGGTGTTTCTGTTGTGCGCTGGGCGCACAGTGTAAATGCTGATGTCCTGTTCCATAATGTTGTGGCAGATGGACTGAAAAATCACAGGAGGAAAATTTGTAATAACTTGAGTGGAATTAAATATGTAGGACAAAGAACATGAAGTGGGAAGTGCAGTCTCTCTTTAAGGACTCTTACATTTATTGGAACCTGTATATCCCTCTTGCTTCAAAGAGGTAAATGTTGTAAACAATGCATTGTCACGCAGTGCTCAGAGATCCTCCAGTAAAAGTCTCTTCTTTAAGTCGTTTTTTATTTAAGTACAGGGGAAAAAGTTTGTGTTCCAGTATGTGAGTTTATATGGGCCGTCAGTGGAAACTGCTGATGAATTTGTCCTGGAACGTGCGCCAAGAAAAAATATTACTGTGTAAAGAAGTATGTGTATACTACATGAAGTTGTGCATGTACAGGCAGTGAGGATTTTTTGTGGGAGTAGGGGTTTTGTTGGAGAATGTGAAAAATTGAGACTTATTTGTATTCCTTGAGCAAGTCTTCCATTTTATTTTTTTTTTTTTTAGTAAAACTGAGAAAGATTGTATTATGTCACCCTGTGAAAAAGAGGAATAGTGGAATGTTTTACGTATTTAAGCAATGGTCTTTTGCACAGATCCATTACTAAATAGGGAGAAGGTTGCTTATTCAAATTCAGCTGCTGATTTTTTGACCTATGAAAAATTACTTCATCCAACCTACAATGACATCTCAATCTCAGAAGTCTGTTTGTACACAGGCACAATTGGTTGTTTTCTTCTTTAAATAAATAGGCTTTTCTGGTTTGTGTTAGCGTGAGTTTTCACATTAGATTTGGCAGTCGTGTCAAGTACACATTGTGTTAGATTAATTGCTTGAATATGCTATCTGAAGCTGTTGTAAACCAAAGTACAGGAACAGAAGGATCACAACCTCCAAGGTGCAGTCAGTGCATGCTTTAGTTGGAGGTTCCAGTTACAATGTTTGGTATCTACTGTGTGTGTCGGTGTACAGCTTCTGGTTGACATATATAAAATCAGCTTAACCATAAAGCCTGTGACAGCATGAAGCAGTAAACTGCAATGTTGGATTGTTCTATGTTTTATCTTCTGTGCCTGCATGAAACAGGAGTTTTAATTTGTCTTGCATACCATGTTGAACTAGACTTTAAAGTTTTATTTGCATGTTGATTGTGCATAAAAGCACTTGCATAAGAGATAGGGATGAGTGTATATAGAGAGAGTTATGAAATCTCCTAGGTTTGCATTTATTTTAGTTATTGCATATGTGGTTGACATTCTAGTTTCATGCTGTAAGTTGCAGTGCACAAATACAGTAAAATTATTTGGAAAATCTATGAAACTGTATTTGGATAGTGTCTCTTGTTTGTTTGACTTGCCTGTTGTTCAGCAGTCTTATCAAATGCAGTGAGACATCTTACTTTTAATATCCTTAAAGTGAACCTTGAAAAACAATATGTAAGTTTTGAAGTTATAAACCAGTAACATTTTCTGATACTGTAGGTAGTGAAAACTTTCATTCTCTCTTAATCCAGGAAGTCTTTACATCACTGAGTATATCTTTGGAGTTACACTTTATCTCGCAGTGCATGAACATTAAGAAAATGTCTGAAAACATCTATTCAGCAACTTGGATTTAACAGTATCAGGTCATTGCAATCTGGAGAGCACTTTTTCAGTAGAATGTCACTGGAGTGTATTTTTACCTGACAGCATTTATATGTGTTTTCCAAAAACTATTTATTGAAAATTTTCTAAGCATAGGAAGGTCTGGAATTGAAGTTATTATTGTGAAAATTATCAGTCTCTATCTCAGTCAGGAGGAAGTTTGTGTATTTAAATCCATTGTCATATACAGTGGTCTTGAATTTAAAAAAAAAAAAAATTCAACTCAAAAACTAGTTGGAATATGCTAGCAGTTCACATGCTGGTACAAGTTATTCTTCAAATATTTCTATAATACAGAAGTGGAGAGAAGTAGGGTATAATGAATGCAAAAACAACCTTTTCTAAATAACTATCAGGTAAATTTATTCTTTTACTTCTCTTTTTATTCAATGTATTTGTTATTAAAGGACAGGTTAATTTACATGTCAGGAGTTACCCTGTCAGGAGCTGCTCATTCTTTTCTTCCTTTGAAATCGGTCTGGATTTTTCTTTTAATGGGGCCAATTTTTAAATGCAGTTGATTTCTGTAAAGGTGTATGTAAAGTTACCTCATGCTAAAATGTCAGAATTCAAATACCTCTTTGGTAGATAACTGAGGTATACTGTTACAGATTATTTTGGCTCAGGTACTGTTTCCCAAAATTAGTAGGTGGTGAATTTGGTTTTAATTAAGTTGTGTTGTGTCACATATCAATGAATATAGCTTTCCCCCCCCCATCCCATTTTTTAAAAAATAAGTGAATATCATAAATAGTGACAACAAAATGTTGAGACTGAAAGTGTTAAGTACTTTTCTGGTAGTATGCACAATAAAAATAATAAATCCGTGACTCTCTTGATTTCATAATCTAATTTGTCTGCAATTTATTTATGTTTATTTAAAATTGTGGCAAATATCAAATAATCTCACAGGCCGAATTACTGGATTCAGTAGTTCAGACCTTAAGATGATCTTACTCATACTAAGAAAGCAAAGGATGTTGAAAAGATATCTTGGCTTGAAAGCCTTTAATACAGAAATGTAGAATTTAATGTATATGTATTGGAGTGTCATTATATTTGAACAATAAAGGTGGCATTTAACGATTTCCATGAGTGTGGCCTGTGTACGTAGTGTAATATTTCAATGCAGAACTAACTGGAGTTACAGCTGTGGTGCTATTTACACAAAGAACCTATTAATATGCCCTCTCAGTTTTCTCTCTTTTAGCTGTGGTCAGATTGAACTTTATTTTGCGGGACGCACATGAATAAGCAGCTTCCCTCCTCCTTCCCTCCCTGTTCTCTACAGTAATTTTTTTCTCTCCAAGTGTCTCTCCTAAGTTGACTGTGTTGTTTCCTTATGAAACACACTGAGGAATTGACCTGGGTCAAGATAACTTAGCAGAAAAGTAGAGGTGTGGTTTTGTGTGCCTTAACCCTGATGGTTTCTCTGACATTGTTTCCTGTGCAGGTGCCCAGTTTGTAATTACAGAGGAATTGAGGGGATGAGGTGTTTTAGCAAGAGGTGCCAAAGCAAGAGGTGCCAGAGCTGTGTACTGTACAGTCAAGTACTGTCACCAAGAGCAGTGCTTGGAACAGTCTTACCATATCTGGAACAGTCTTACCATATCTGAAGTTTTCTATAGCTTCTGTGAATGTGACTTGTCTGCCAGCACAACCACAGCGCTCCTTCCCTATGCCCTTGCAGTGTTTTCCCTCTCTGTGTGGGACATAATCTGAATTTTTCTCCAGTTGTCAGAGGGGGAATTAACGAAACTTTTATGCTGCATGAAGTTGCAGGGTGTTTCTCTGAGAAGATTTTGCAACGAATCGTAGTTCTAGTGTGAATGGCTTCTGCCCAAAATAAGCCTAGTTAGTTTAAGTAAACTTAAATGTGGAGAGCAACTTCAGTGAAGATGCTTGAATAATTTGAAAATTCTGCCTCTAAGAATGTGAAATGACCTTCTAAATTCTTTGAATCATTAAAACCTTTATTTGAAACTCAGGGCTTTTAATGCTCATGTAAGTTAACTGGACTTTCACATACTTCAGAGTTTCTAATATTGTTTTATGTCTATGGTTTTATTTTAGAGCAGCAGTCTGCTATACCTGTGATCTACAATGAATGCCAAATCTGCAATCAGCAAAGAAATTTTTGCCCCTCATGATGAAAGGATGCTGGGAGCCGTTCAAGTGAAAAGAAGGACAAAAAAAAAGATTCCTTTCCTAGCTACTGGGGGTCAGGGTGAATATTTAACATACATCTGCCTGTCAGGTAAGATTAATGACTTGGGTATCTAGTGATCTGTTTAGGCTTATCTTAGTTTAATGGATTGGATGTCATCTGTAGCTATAAAGAACTGGGTGATTCAAATCTTAATAAATGTAATCAGAGAATTATAGCACTTATAGCTTTCATTTTGCAGAACCACATGCTCAAGGCTATTAATATTTATACAGTATAATAAATTGAACAGGTGGTTTCATTGTTTAAAAAAAGACTAAGTGTTCTCTCACAGCATAGCTGCAAAGCATGAACAAATAGAGTATTTGGTAACAGTCTTTCCATATTGAAATTAAGATATTTCTTAGAAGGATGAACTTTTCAGGATATTAAAATGGCATACAGTTTTTTATATGCCATGTTTCAATGTCTGACAACTGAGCATGTGTGAATACCTTTGGTATTCTATGGTGATTTAGTTACTTAGGATTTTAGGCATGTCAGTTGCTCCCTTTGAGTGTGTGCATCTTGCTGGAAGTACAACTAGTGGTCAGAGGAAGAAGCGCTCTATGAATCTCAGAAGACTGCAATTATTTTTGGACTAAATGAAGGATAGTGCTTCATAGACTCTTTAAAATTTTATTTTTTTAAACTATGTTAAAACTTTCAAAGCATAGGAAGTAAACCCCAGTGACCCTATGACTAACACATCACACACTGCTCACAAAATGTACATTTATCGAATGAGATGTTATTTGTCTGCATATATGCAAATGCTTATGTTAAAATACAAGCTGCAGAGAATATGCAAGTACATATTGAGGTCAGTGACACAAAACAGAAGACTTTTCATATTCAGCTGAGTGTTCTGCTTGTCGTCATAGGATCATAGAATATCCTGAGTTGGAAAAGAGTCACAGGGATCATTGAATCCAACCCCTGGCCCTGCACAGGGTTACCCCAAAAATGGCACAGTCTGATAGCATTTCCTAATGCTTCTTGAACTCTGGCAGTTTTGGTGCTGTGACCAGTTCTCCTGGGGGCCTGTTCCAGGGCTTTAACACCTTCTGAGTAAAAAACCTCCTCCTGATATCCAACTTAAACCTTCCCTAACACAATTTGACACCATTCCCTTGGGTCCTGTCAGTGGTCACCAGAGAGAAGAGATCAGTGCATGACCCTTTGCTTCACCTCATGAGGAAGCCGTGGACCACAATGAGGTCTCCCCTGAGTGTCCTATTTTTTAGGCTGAACAAACCAAGTGACCTCAGCCATTCTTCCCACATACAGAGGTTCAAGGAAGGGTTTGAAAATTGATTCACTTAGGCTATTCCCTAGACTTGTGGTTGAGGTACTCTGTTGGATGTAAGGATTGCAGGTTTCAATCCTCTCAAGTTGTAGCGAAAACTCAATCTAGGTCTCCTGTCTCTTAAAGAAATGTTCAAATCACTAACCTTTTGAAGCAAAACTCACTTCTTCCTTTCAAAATTCAATTTTTTAAATGTCAGTCCAATTTTTTTTTCTAAGTTGTCTTCCATTAAATCATGTTCTGGATTTGTGCAGTAAGTTTTGGAATACACAGGTGTTTGATACCCTTGTTCATGGTTGAAGGTTAGAGATGTGATGTGTGCTTATAATTTTCACTAGTCTACCTCTATTCAATAGATGGGGTGTATGTGTGTGTGTGGGGGGGTTGTTTTGGTTTTTGTTTGTGGTTTTTGTTTGTTTTGGGTTTTGTTGGTTTTTGTTTGGTTGTTTTTAATTTCCGTTCTGGAGAATTTAGCCCTTCTCCATCTCCTGCACCCCATATTGATGTGTAGTAGCTATCATGGATTTTAAGACATTGAATGATCTTGAATGCATCTATTGTTTTTCTGCAGCAGGATAGCGTATTATGAGTAAGGAAGAAACAGCAAATGTCCTGACTTGAGCAGAGTTTGTCACTGATGATAAAGAGAAGCATTCAGGATCTAAATAAAACTACTGTGTGGCAGGCACTGAAAAGCTTCATAGTGGTATTGCAAGAACCCTCACATGTGGCTCACTGTTAGTGGGGTTTTTCATGGATCTGAGACCAGGTTTTTTGTTTATGTTTATAGATTATATTATGAAAAGTACAGTATGAGTGGTAATTTCAGTAGGCAACCAAGTGACTAGGGAGAGAACTGCCTGGCTATGTTTGTGTTTGGTGCCAGAATTCCAAACAGTCTGTTTAGAAAGATGATGCAATTCAATAGGGTCAAGTGCGATTAGTTATTTACTTGGGAATCATCAAAGGCACAGAACCAAACATTAGGGAGCAACTGTTTCTGCTACTGTGTTTAAAAGAAACTGTGACAAGGATAAACTGATTTTTTGCTATTCCTGATGGCTGTGAAGCAAGAAGTTATGTTAGAGATGAAGAAGAAGGTTCACTTCAGTTAGAGTAAGTTAATGTGGGTGTGACAGTTTTGCCCCAAGCAGTCTATCTTGGGATAACAGAATATGTTTGATGACCTTCCTTTTTTGATGTGATTCAGTACAATGAAGCAGACACAATGGTGGCTAGCTCTGGATTTGTGTTTACATTTCAAGAAACTCATACTTTAATGCCGAGTGTTGCAACATCTTTCATGGAAACACCTTTATTGGCCTTTGACTCTTGTCCCATTTTTTCCAGGTTTGCTATGTATTAGGTAAACATAGTGACTGGAATATCTCTGTGTTCGTAGTTTCCTTGGACTAATTCAATTTGGCCTTTGCTAAACGGGGTTTGATAATTTACTCTTTAGAACTGAATTTCTAGGTTGAAAGAATACATGTAGAAACTGGCTCCTTAAGGGATATAAATATTCGAGGATATAAAATATCTTGTCTAGTTGTAATTTTATTCAAAGCATGATACAGGAAATAAAACATCAGCCATTGTGATAGCTACTTTTACTTACTGCTCAGTTTGTAACTGAAAAATTGTATGAATTGTTGTAATCAAAATTCAGTGTTTTCAGTGTTGAATTGAAAATACATGCTATCATAATTGTTGTTTATTTGCATTTTTGTAAGCATGGATAGAGGTGCTGAGCAGCCCTTAAGCCTCAGAAATAGGATAGTGAAGCACTAAAAGCATCAAATACTGAACAGAGCAAGATGGAAGAATAAGGCAGATTCTTCCTTAAAATTGGTATTTGAAGTATGTACTGTATTTTTTTTACTTTACTTTACTTTTACTTTATTAAATACTGAATTGGTTAGAAAGAAATATTCATTAATGCTCCAAAGTGGTATACCTAAAGCTTGTAATCTCAAAGTGGAGACACATAAAGTTAAGAAAGCTATAACAAACCTGCTTGACAGACTGGTGGAAACGAAGCAGCTGGGTTACCTGCAGCCTTCTAGCCTGCTGTAGTGGAGGGGCTGGCCAAGTTAAACAGGCAAACAGAGCCAAGACAGATCTTTGGGAAGTTATTTAGTTGAAGAACAGCAAGAAATGAGTAGACAGATGGGAAACAGAGGTGGGGTGGCTGTAGGCGGAACAGAGAAAACGAAAACTAGGATTTTTTTTTTTTTAATGCAGAAGACTTAACACAGAGAAAAGACAAGAAATTCAAAGCTGAAAGTGGGTATTTATCACCTCCTCCACACTAGCAGACCTAGTGATAGTTATTGGATCAGATCTAAGTTTTAATTTTGTCATCATTGTCTTATATAATTGAAACATAATTGTTTAAAATAGTTCCTAGCCTTATTTAGAATTCTGAGTTAAGTATAAAATACTTAAAAGGTCACTTGGGAAATATAGGCCGTTGGCCTACTTGCTTGTGCACAGTTCTGTGTTATTTCCTTTGATACCCTAGCATTACATTTTTTAAGTAACTTCTATTATTTAAAAGGGTTTTTTATATTGTAGTGCATTGGAAGTGTTCCAGTTTGTACACATGGATGTGGTATTGACCTTTCAGGGTTAAATATCTGTTGCATTTGCAGTGAACTGAGCGAACCAGATGGTTCCTCTAGATCTTGAATTCCTGTGTGTCATAGAACTGTAAGATAAGGTTGCACCAATCTTTGTAGTCCTACTGAAATGCTTGGGATTAGAGCATAAAGCTCAAGTTCTTTAAAGCTGGAAGTGAAACTATTCCCCTCTTTTCCCCACTATTATGACTTTAATAGTGTTCTTTCTTTACCGTCTCCAAATTCATTTAGCCTATTGTCAGTTCAGGGTTTTTTTGAGTGGCTTTTATGCAGAAGTACAATCTGTCAAGGATGGTGGCAGAAAAGCCAAAAGGAAATGCCAAGAAATCATAAGAAATAATACACAAAAATAAGATGCACATGCTGGGGAGAGTGTGTTGGGGGCTTTGCTGTCTTTAAAAGTTAACTTTATTGACTGTATCACAGACTTGTTCAAAAGATAGTCAATAACTTAGAAAGCTGTTTGCATTTACCATGATAAACCTTTGTGGTTTGGTTTGATTTCCCCACACTTCTGTTTTTACAGAGAGACAGAGACTTGGTTTATGAGCTTAAATAGTTCTGTGACTATCCTCATTTATGCACTTACAGCTGATATCTTACCACACTACTCAGTTACACTTCCAACATGAGCTTTTGTACTCTTGATTTTTTTTTTTTGGCTGTAGAGTCCATGGTACCATGAAGTTGTTTTTCCAATTACAAATTTATTGTTCCTCCTGTACTGGCTGTTCGTGGAATAGAATGTTACCCAGGAATGACCTATATCTCTTGCTCCTTTTAAGGTCACTTGATGTGGCTACCAGAAATTGGCTGTAATTTCATGGTGAATTCAAGGACAGGTTAAGTGCAATTGAATTTTCAGCATGGTGGCTGAACCGAAAATTGGAAAGTAGTGAGAAGGAACTTGATATCAAAGGAATTCAGTTTTCTCCTAGTGTGCTCTTATTTTCTATTTGAGTTCTGCTACTATAATGAGGTGACAATCTACCAATTTATTTTCTGTATTTTCTTCTTGAAGAAAACATCCAATTTTCGGGAGCTTGTAATGCAGACAATTCTCATGTTTCCTGTTCAGGACATGAGAAACCATAGTAAAT